CGGATCTCTTTCCTCTACTGGCCGCTGCTGGAAAGCGCACGGCCGGTCAAGTTCCTCTGGAAGCTGGAGCAGGTGAGGAAGTGTTTGTCTCTTCCCCTGGACCTTTTCCCTTCCGCCCTTTGCTGATCCCTTCCTCTGCTGCCTGCCACAGGTCTGCGATGATGAGTGGCACCATTACGCCCTCAACCTGGAGTTCCCCACTGTCACGCTCTTCGTGGATGGTGTCTCCTACGACCCTGCCCTCATCCATGACAATGGCCTTATCCACCCGCCTCGGCAGGAGCCCTTGCTCATGATTGGAGCCTGCTGGACTGGTGAGTGACCCCTCGCTGCACAGTGGGAGCCCCATCCCTGGAAGTGTTCAAGGGCAGGTTGGATGGGGCTCTGAGCAACCTGGTCTAGTGGGAGGTGTCCCTGCCCATGCAGGGGGGTTGGTCTAGGTGGTGTTTAAGGCTCCTTCCAACCCAAACCATTCTGTGATTCAATGCTCTTCCCATACGAGACCCAGAAGAAATGAAAGAAACACCTCCCAGAACTATATGATGCAAACCACATTGCAGCCATCTTGCCTACTTGGCAGTAAAGCCAGTGTGGATCCTTCCTTCCCTACAGACCAGTACAAACCAGTAGGCCATGGTAATAATAGCTCAGGGACAAGTGCCATTGGCAGCTTCATGGACAACAGCAGTAGAATATGGGAGGGATAACTAGCTTTCAGGCAGAGGAGAGTTCAAACTCTGTGCCTCATTGAGGCACTAGCCTTTCTAGCAAAGCTTTTCACCAGAGAGCAGGCAGCATTCTTGGTGCTGCTGGTTGAATTGACAGGGATTTCTGTGTCTTGAGGGTCTCTATGAAGTCAACCCAGATTGTTCTGCAGAGGAATTGGGCTGGAGGACAAAGATCAGATTAGGAACATAGTTAAACTACTACCAAATGTGAAGACTGCATTTCCCAGGTCTTTCAGTTGTCCTTCAAGACTGAAGCAGGACAGAACTAAAGGAATTTGCCTGCTGCTTGCCTTCACTGTATCAGAAATTTCTAGCAAGACCAAATATTTACTGTAGTACTGCTTCTCCCAGCCCACAGCTCTCTGCTCTTTTGCAACAAATACCAATCAGCTTGGGATATCCTGCTGGAACCATCTGAGTTTCAAAGGGACGCTGGGAACATGATTTGTTCCAAACACAACTAGGACCGTGTTCCATAACTGGGAATCTGTTAATTCCAAGAATAAGTATCATTAGGAAGGAGAAAAAACAAAACAAAACACAACCCTATAACTTCTCCTTTGTATCAGTTATTTTTGGTACAGTCTTACCATCCCCTTAGTGGGAGGGACTCTTTCATCTCTGATGTGCTGTCTCTAGGGCTGAAGGGTGCAGTACTTGGCACATGACTCCAGAGCTGTTCCTTAGGACTGGCCGACACAGGCACTTGCCTGACCCCCTAAGTACCTTCTTCCAATGCCTTATTTCTTGTCTGAATGTTCTCCTTTTGCAGAGGAGAAAAACAAAGAGAAAATCAGAGGAAATGAGAACGCCACTGATACTGTACAAGGTAGGGAAAAGAAAGATGATTCTGCTCCCCTCTTGACCATGCATGACTTACTTCTTGCATGGAGCCTTCCTCATACAGCTCCCCAATCCTGTCCTGCCACCTCCCACCATCCTGGGAGGTACCCCTTATTTGGCAGATTGATCCTTGGTATCTGTGGAGCATGAAAAGGCTGGTAAGAGGACTATGGCCTGCTTTGAGAATGGAGTATGCTTTTCCTGTGGAGAAAGAATCCTTGTGTCTGGTCATTCCAGTTGGTCTCTGAAGAACACAATAGCCATTAGAGACATCATGAGATGTCACCTCATCCCTATCTATCTATACTATCTATAGTATAGTTTCTTTTAAAAGCCCTCACAGGAATCAGAGTGAGAAGGGGAGAAGAAACTGTTTCCACCTGGCATTCAGCAGTTTGGCAGAAACTTCTCTATGCTACCCATCATTCACTACAGTAGTCTTTCTGCTGCTCTGTTTCTCTCACTTCCCCCCATCTGGAATTAAAATATTGTCATCCCCTTCCATCAGCATCCCCTGTCTCTTTGTTGTCTTTCCCTTTCAATGTCCTGTGAACCGCT